GTACTTGATATAATTAATGTCCTGGATATATCACATCTGTATTCTGCCTGATTTTAATGTACTAATTGCCCAATTACATGTTGAAATAACCATGCATTGTCTTTGTGACATTGTTATAGAAACAAATCATAGTCTTAATAGTTTCTAGATTTAGTTTATAATAATAATTGTACATAATTATATTTGAGAACTGAGCAAAAGTGGGTAAACATTTGTGGTTTTTCAGGATGTTTGAAAAATTCAGTTCTTTAGGGTAAACTAGAAGTGGAATGGAATAAACTAATCCAAAATATATGTAAAACTAAGTTACACTCCTTAGTTTTTTTGACATGAACATGTTAAATTATTTAGAGGATACAATTTAAACTTTAGTTTATAAAATGAAAACTGTTACTTTTAATATTAACTGGTTTATGAAAATAATTTAAGAATGCTTTGGAAGTAGAAATCTTAAGGCATGATTGTACAGATTCTTCTGTGATCAGACTGTTCTTTTATTATTAGTGTTTTTTTACTATTTATAAGTTTTAAATAAATAAAAATATCACTTAGCAGTTCTCCATCAATATAAAAAGATCTATATTTAAATAGAAAGTTACTTGTATATTTAACTTTATTAAAATTTATTGAAGGCCTTGTTAATTTTTAGACTTATTACTATTCTTGTTTTAGTATTATTATTTTTGTAATGTTTACATAAATATTCTAACAAAATTTATTTGAATAAAATAACACATTAACAGTTTGAATATACAGTAAAATCATTGACATATTACAAATTCTAAAAATAATTGAAGATTCATGACAAAATTTGTTTAAAATATCTTAAATATTTCACAAAAAATAAAACTAATTTTTAAAATAAATACTTAAGATTAATATGCTGCTGTTCAGAGAATGATCCATTTTCTTATAATTGAAAAATTACAATTAAAATCTTCATTATATTACCTTTTTTAATGATCAGTTAAATATTTTGATATACATTTTCAGACATTGTTTATATCCATTTTTAGATCAAGCATAAAACAAATTTCACATTAAATATAGAATGAAGAATTTCAAAAAAAATTTTTTTGTGCTTCTATGCAATGTAATTGCATTCTCTACACTTTCTTCTAAAGTTTTTTGCTTGTGATATTGTCCAAATCCAGGGATCTAGGGTTACATTTTGATTGATAAATAAATAAATAATAGGATAGTGTAAGCCTGGATTTGGATGATATCGTATGTGAGGAGCTTTAAAAGCAAGTGTATAACATACAATTACATTGTTTGTAATGGAGACATTACACATAAGTGTAAAAAAATAAATTTTGAAATTTTTCATTCCATGTTTGTTCCAAAATTTTTGAATTATGTTTGATCTGAAGATGTATATCGATAAACATATGAAAACATTTATCAGACTATTTAAACTGACCTCTTAACACAGGATACATAACGAAGTGTTTTAGTTGTAATTTTTCATATATAAATAATTTAACAAGTGGAGACATCAACCTGAAGTTTAAGTAATGTAATATAAATGAATATCTGGACAATGATAATCAACAATAGACAATTAGACAGCAATTTGCAGTGAGATTCAAACATCCACTGTGATTAGTTGATAAGATAACTTAAGGCCAAAGTTCAAATTGTTAGCTTCATGTCTCTTATTCAGAGTCAAGTTGAAATTACTTGTTATCACATGTTCTGCAGTTTTCAAATATTTTTTTTGTATCAGACACCACTCACAATCCTTGCCTCCTCCCTTCTGAATTTGCCTCTTATGTGAAATTAATTTTATTTTATATTAAAAAAAGAAAGATAAATACATATCTTGATGCTCGTTCAACCTTTTCAAAGCTGCAATGTGTGTATCCTACATAAAACAAAATGCTATAATCTTTAACAAAACATATTTATCTTATTATTTCTATTAGAGTTGAGAAAAGTACATTTGTCATATTGCTATACAGAAAATTGACTGCTGTACTGTCTTACATTTATGTCCATTCCAGGAATCTGTTTAAATATAAAACTGCAACTCTGACATCTAAATGTGGGGCTCTTTTATTTTACCTTAAAGATGACTATAATACAGAGTACTTATTTAAGTTGGAATCCTTACATCTCCTATATGCAAGGCATAAAAGAGCTTTTTATTTAGATGTGATGTGAGGGTTGCAGCTGGAATGGAAATAAGTGTAAGGCAGTACAGCAGTCAATTTTCCATATACCAATGTGACAAGTGTACGCTTCTCAACTCTAATGGAAATATGGATGAAAAGAAACATAATTTATCTCAGTATGATCTAGTTCCTTAGTTATGTTTACTATATTCTGGTTAATTCTAGAAATGAAGTATTTATACATGTCCTCTGTATTCTGTGTTATGAGATAATCTGTTTCGCAGATTATCTCATAACATAATTGGTGATGTTCAAGGAATTTCTTGTACAAGGTCAATTTCCATTGAGAGTTGCTATACTAGCAACTCTCTGTGTACCATACTGTCAACCATACAGAGGACATGTATAAATACTTCATTCTGTCATCTCATCTGTGTAGCAGATTATCTCTATTACATCATCTTAAAATGTTTTTACTACAGGAGCTTCTAAAAATCTAAGCACTTTCTGATTATAGGTAAACCAATGGGAACCCTTTGTTTTTAAAATGATCTTTGTGCACAAAATTAGAGAAGTAAATGATTATATGTAAATACTGTGGAATGACACTATTCCATTTCACTTTGAGGGACAACCTTCCGTTATTTATTATACTCTGTTGCAGCTGGTATGGCAACTCTCAATGGAAATTGACCTTGTACAAGAAATTCCTTGAACATCACCAATAACCTGCACAACTCTGCGAAAGATCTGCTACAAAAACACTCAATTTAACAAAATAAACTGTTCTTGTCACAACAAAGTTCATTACCATATTGCTGATGTGGTAACAACACTGCTATAGAAATGGGATTGAGAGATTCTTGAGCATCCATCTTATTCAAATGTGTGTTCTCATGATTTTGCCTTGTTTGGAAATGAAACAAACCTTTATGTAGTTTAACAATTCCTATAAACAGATGCCATTCCATCTGCAATAGTTTATGCATTCTGTCTGTGATAAAGGCTCTGCAAATTGAGTATGACACCTGCCAGACATTGGCAATGATGCTACACATGACCAGAGACTATGCAGAGGTCCTGCAAAAACACTAAGTACAATCTACTTTGTAAACTTTTTTATTCATTAATGGTCAATAATTAAGCTATGACTTTTACACAATACAGTTCAAAAGTTTGTTGTAATTTGTGCAGTTTTTGCCCAAAGATCATGTGAAGTTATATTACAGCTAAACTCTGTTAATACAAAGTCAAAGGGAGTTAACAATTTCAGTTAATGCAAAGTGCCAATTTTTAACTTTGAAATGCCATCTTCCCTTATCTGTGGGACTACAAATATATTTCACGTTAACACAGATTTCACATAAACTGATAAGCTGATAGTGGGTTTTGACAGTAATTGATCTGTTTAGAGTAAGATTTAATACATTGTTTTATCTACATTATTACAATAAGAATTTTGATATAAATAGATCATTTTTATCTAAACCTAACTTGGCTTTTCAGTCTATAGCTTAGAATATAAAGAAGAATATATGCCAGTAGAATATTATTTTTAAATTTCAAATTTTTAAACTCGCTTCACATGACTTCTGAGAAACTGGTAAGTTATTGTTATTTGTGCAATATTCATTATTAGTATTTGTTATTCACTAGAAGGAAACAAATAGTAATGAATTGTTACTCGATTGTTACTCGATGTAAATAATTGCTACTCAATTATCGAGTAGTTACTACTTGAATCAAGTGTAACTAGTATTTAAATCAATATATACTTTGTGACTTTGACTAGTATCTCAGATAAGCTGGCTTGACTGAGCATGAATTTAGTGAGTTTTGCTTGTTTATTTTTCATTTCTTGAGTTTTTCTTTCTTTAGATATAAACATCCAACAGCCCAATTTTAGTTTACACACCTAGATGGTACCTAGGCCAAATTACTTAATGATTAGTAGCATTATTATAGGTTGATGTAATCGTGCAGTCATTTGGTGTTTTTATTTCTTTTTTGTTGTGTGTGATTTAGGAATGGAATATTGGAGGAAATTTTGTGGTTTTGGAAATTATAAAAACAACACAAAAAAATTATTTTATCATTTAACAGATATTTATAGTTGTTACTATAAAGTGCCTCGTTGGTATATTCCTTTCTAGGGAACTCATTTTCAAATTGGGTTTGATCATCTGGAATTTTTTTCAAATAATGGCTTGGATATTTTGGATCCCATCCCTTGATTTCAGTCTCTGGTGGGTTTGATTGAATCTTTAACAATTACAAAAAGCATATATCCTTACTCCTACAGTAATCACTAAGGCAAAGAGTGATCTCTTAAGTTAAAAAAGTCATCTTTTATAATTCCTTAAATTAATAGAATCTTGGCAAATTTTTGACATCTTTTGCTTCAAATATGCATTAGCTACAACTACTGTTAATATCCAAATTTTTGAAATCAATACCTGGACTTTAAAAATCTGATTGATTATTACTACCAGTTTAATACAGGTTTACATAAACATGTTATAAAAAATTTATTTCACAGATTTCATTATTTTTATTACCTAACATATAAAACTATTCATTAAGTTAGTAACAATTCATAAGTTTAGTGCTTTTGTAGTCAGAACAAAACTAAGGAGTTTTCTAAAAAGTTTTTGCTCAGAGAACTAGATTTAAAGAACTTTCTTAACAACCTTCGACACTTTTTCTAGCAATTTGTTTAATCGAACTAACATTTTTGGCTATACTTAATGGTCTCCCTCAGAAATTGCTAGAAAAAGTGTTGAAGGTTTTATAATACTTATTTACAGAAGTTCTAGCTTTCCATGCATAGAATTTTTTAACAACCATTTAATGTATTGATATTTATTATTTCTTTATTTTAAGCTCACCAGAACATCTGGAAGAATGAAGAGATATAGTTTACGTCAGAGTCCTAAGCCAAATGAATCGTTAGGTGAGTAAAATTCAATGTATTGATAGTCCATTATATTATTTATTGTTTAACTAGCTGTGTTACCCATCATTGACAGGAGATACTTATTTCATGAAATTATATTTACTTACCTAAAGAGTATATCTGCAAAGAATTGTTCATTACAGATTCATAATATTTCTATTAAAGGTGTGGGATAATCTATATATATAACCCATTCAACAGATGTCCGTCCTTCCGTCCGTCCCGTAACCGTTTGATAACCGACACTAGAGG